GGTGTTTAAAGCCTTGTTTCAAAGTTTCGGTTTTGTGAAGATAATTTCACAAGAGGAAGAAAAGATCATCCTTTGGTGTTTGAGCTTCAACTCATCTCTCTCTCTCTCTCTTGATCTATAGAGAAGTTTTCCTAAACTCATTCTAGCTATTTATTGTTTTTTTTCTAATTTCCATAAGCTAGATTTATATTGAGTTTAGTTAAATTATTTTTATTGAATCTCTTTATTCACACACAACCTATTGAGCTTATAGTATTTACATTCATAGTATATTTTGGGTTGTGGGGTTTGTGACTTAGAGTTGTGCCTAATTGAGTTCTCACCTTGTTTAGAGAACAATCATTTGTTGTGCTTAATTTGTGAAGTTTACTTTGTAATACACTTGTACACCGAGAGGAGTGTGTCGTGAGGACGAAGTCGATACCAAGAGGAGTGGCGTCGGTGGTCTAGTGAGAGGTGATAATTCCGAGCACTTGAGGGAGTCGATACGTGAGGACCAACACTTGAGATTGTAGCTTGTGTATGTACATTGTGAGGATTTGTGAGAGTTGTCGGTTGACTTGATAACCGAGTGTGTAGAGTTTTCGGTTAGCTAGAAAACCGAGTGTGTAGAGAAGTTCAGCTTCCAAACCGGGTTGGACGTAGGACGGAAGGTCTGAACTCCGTGATCATTTCCTTGTGTTTGAGTTTGGCATTGGCGCATTTATTATTGCATATTGTTTTTTCGCCATTGTTGCATGATCATATTGTTTACCCTTGTTTATATTGTATATCCTTGCATATATCTTGTAGCATATCATACTTGTTAGGATATATCACATTGGTTATATTGCTTATTCTTGCTCATATCACATTGTATATCTATCTTGCAAGAATAATTTGTTAATAAGTTTTAAATTGGCATAAAATCGGATTAGATTAGCATAAGACCCTATTCACCCCTTCTCTAGGGTTATTTCATAGCGACCTTAGGGTCTAACATATAATCCATTGAAGTCCTCGTGTTGGACTATAATCCATTAAAGTCCTCGTGTTGGACTATAATCCATTAAAGTCCTCATGTTGGACTTTAAGCTTTTGCAGTTCATGTATTGGACATTTACCTATTTCAGTTCACGAGTTGGGCACGTATTTGACATCTGACAGGTCATTGATATTATGCTTGGAGATGATGCTATATTTCTTTATTGCGCCACGTAGTAGTTTTTTTGGGGATTTGGTATTTAGCTATTTACAATTTGAGCTAACGAGAGACGTACTTATGCTCGTGTTGTAAATTTCTAAATATCAAACCACCATTTTATTTCGGAGTAGATGATTGACTATCTATATGTATTAATATCTATTTTTCTTTTTTCTAGCCCTTCCCCCTGGGGTTGGTTGAGATGTTACTCGCTAGGCTTGATGCCCCCCCCCCCCCTTTTTAGGTAACGAGCCAGGTGCACGGAGAGCCGTAGGTTGATGGAATTGCTCTAGCGGTTATTTATCTATATTGTTAGTAGTTTATGTCGGAACTCCACAGTAGATGTGTTTATGAACATTTGAGTTATCATTCTAGTTTCGTAAAGGCGATGTGCCTAAATGTCATTTCATTTGATTTCCTATGTCGAGACACTTGTATTCAGCCAGATGTTATTTCTCTCAGAGATTTGTCTATTTATTTCAGTGGTGATGATTTCTTCAGAATATCTGTCGTTTAGTATTTCTTCTGTATATTTTCTCTAGCCTGTTTTGTACCTACACCTGTTGTTGATTCTACTAGATAGATAGTAATTGTGATGGTGAAACATGCTATTGTACGGTGTAGTGCATGACATGTTTGACATTCTTGGTTTCACCTTGGACTGCAGCCTTGTTGAAACCATGGGCGTCACAAAGTGGGAATAGTAAATCTAGCGTCTAAAAACATGTCGTGTTTGGTACGCATGAATAAATAGTTAGAATTACGTTCCATCCTCACTCATTCCCGCGTACCAAACGAGGCGTAAGGGGCTGTTTGGTTTGTCGAGTAATCTTGATGCACATAATGGATATTAAAAAACTCATAATTGAAATCATGTTTGTTTGCGATGGATATTAAAGATGATTTGCACGAGGAATAAAATCCAATCAAATTTTGTTTGGTTGTACATGAATTTTATTGAGGATATGTGACTAAATTCACAAATAGGGTTGAAATCAACACAATTTTTAGGAATTTTATTTGAACCAATTTATCATATGTGCCAACCCCAAATCCATGTGTAAAAAATAACAAGCGAACAATGTATTTGTTAAAAATCCATAATGTTTATCTTGTGGGTCCCATTTTTCTAATGCAATAATACAAAATTTATAGAAACAAACAGTCCTTTTTGCCCGTGCCAAAATCACTCATTTATATCGTAACAAAGTAAATTTTCTTTTTCACTCCACTTCCGAAAATACACGAAGCAGTGCATCTCTTTAACTGACGAATCTTTCGGGGTCCTTTTTGCCTACAGAAACTGCGGGTAAGCTGGAAAGGTGAGTGGGCCCATTCTTCTCTCTCGTTTCATTGTTTTTAACACGTGAATTTTTGTGGCCTTGGGCCGGGTCCACTCTCAATTGTCCCTATCAAACTACATCCGCACCTAAATGTAGCAATAGGGGACTAAAGTTTGAGTTTAAAAGCTCATTAATTAATAACTTTATGGTTGAATCTGAAAAAAAAAAAAAATTCGACTGCAAGATTCTAAGATTTTATTTGGATTTCATGCTGCGGTGAAGAAACTTCTTTACTAAAATTTGCAGCAAAAAATAGATCCTTCGCAACGAACCAAACACTGAATTTAGATTTAGAAGTACATTTCCAATGATAAAATGCAAATATCCAAACAACGAAATTGAGGTTAATTTCCGGCAACGTTAGCAAACGCTACGTGTAACACCGCAGCGTCGCCTGCGACATTTCATTTATAATCGCAACGCACGGTACAATTCCTGATATAATCGCAATATACTTTACAATTCCTGAATTGGACAGCATAATTTGTTTCTGAATCGCCACAGAATTTTTCTGGACAAAACTGGAACAAGTAATTGTGTTGAGTTAGCTGCGCGCGCGTAGAGAGTAGAAAGCATGGTACGGACGGTTGTACATAAACATGAAGATGTTGGTCAAGTTCGAACTGTGTAAACTATTTGATGTGAGATTAGTTGATCTGAAGCTGATTACGGCGATCCAAATGTCCAATCCAAAAATGATAGACCTACCAGAGGAGATGCAACGACGGTCTAAATGACAACACAATTAGTATTGTGTTTTAGCTATTTACAGAAAAATCATTTTTTTTTTCCTTTTAAAAGCATGAGTTCGGGAAAAATCTTTTCATGGTCAATATTATCCTTCACTATTTTGAATATTTCATTCATATATTAATCTATCCTAATTATAATTATATCATATCATAATCTTACGTGAACTCTCTATAGCTCAACAAATTAAAAAAATATTAATAAAATATATAAAACAGCTTTAGGGTATTAGTTTGTTAAGATAAAGAAATTATATGTAGCTAATATACTACAATACATGAAGTATTGTAAAAAAAAGCTAAAAAGTTTTAAAATTGCATAAAATACACTGAAAAGTTTAAAATTATAAAAAACATCTTAACGTTTCAAAACTTAAAACAACAAATTATTGACATAATAGAAACTCTTATTGGATGCATACGAGAAGAATTCGTTGTAGATGAAAAAGAGGTAGCTCCTAATCTTATTTAAGTAATAAATTTGGAACACAAATAATTATATATATATATATGAAATTAAAAATTATTCTCATTGAAATAGAAAAAAAAATCAAAGACTGTATTTTAAAAAGTTTGTATTGAACATTATAAATACACTTGATTTCTTTGCGAAGTTAAACGAGAAGATCAAAGAATAACAAGTCTAGGAAAGATAACAGTGGAAAAAAGACGATATTATATATATATATTCTAGAATGACAATTTATTATCATTACAAAATTAAAACTTTTTTGATGTCACAATCAATGTAGATGATGAAGACACTATTCTCGAATTGCCCAGGAAAAACATAAAAGTGAAGAATGATTGATCTTAGCTTAATAAAATAATAAAATAGAAGGAATAAAAGATAATATTTCTGAATATTTTATAGAATAGTTTAATTGTTTTGAATGAAACTAGGAATATTTAGAAAGGGTGTCCATGAACTTTTTTTAGTACTTTTATATGCTCATGTAGATGCTTTTATCATATAAAAATATACTAGAGTTAGCATTAATATTTAATTTATAATTTTTATGAAGTCTATTAATAATTATGAATACATTTTATATAATCAATCATTTTACCTTATTAGTTTTAAATATTCACTTTTCTTGTATAACACTGTTTCAATATTTTTCACTTTCGCAACACTATACTTTCTCAAGTAAAGCTTGGTTTTATGTTAGTCCAAATAAGATAAAAATTTAAATTAGCTTCAAATTATATATATTTTTTCTATCAATTCAAATATCAACATGAAAATTTAAGTTAGATATAGCCCATTTAAACAAACATCAAAGAAAATAAATAATTACAATGTTAAATTTTAGAGACAAAACTAAGCACAAACTATTAAAGTAGAACCGAGGAACAAACTTAAAATAAAAAAAATACTTAATCATGATATCTAACCATGTGCAATGCACGTGCATAAAACCTAGTAACAATAAATAGACTAGTACCACCCGTCAAGATCCCTTCGTGCAAAAATCAAAAGATTTTATTTTATTTTTAATTAGTAGCCAACTGCGGAGGCTAAATTAATTGAAAATTTACAACAAATCTTTCAGCTTTTCATGTTGAAGCATTGGGAGAACAAGCGGATATCAGCAAAACAAGAGGGCAGTCATAAGTACCACACCTTAGGATGCATATATAAACAATAGCCAGATAAAGCAACCAAAGCGAGGCTCTCTCTTCAGAGAAACGAGCTAAAGCTTACTCAGGCAAAGCACCAACTTCCATCAAAGTCACTAGAGCCTGATTCTAGGCCAATATACAATGACACCTATTCACAATCAGAACTTGGGAACAGCTCTGAGATAAAAATTCACTAAAAAAAACATATCTAGTGACAATATATATTTCACTTGCGGTATAGATTTCACTGTTCCAGAACATCCATTCACCTCATACTACAAACTTCAAAATAAAAGCGCTTTCCCCCAAGTATTGTGTACATATCAGCCATTCACCTGCAACAGTGAACCCCCCAAAAGAACAAAATAAAACTTAAGATCCAAAGAAGACCTACCACGAAAAAGAAAGCAGTTCAAGCTAACAGAAAACTCAAAGCTCTTCCTTAGCTGGTACTGCAACTGAGCTAGTTCCACTGCTGGAGTTTTTAATGTATATCCTCAGCTTGGTGCTCCTTTTCTTCTCAGGTTCAGGTGGTGATGGCGCTACTTGCGTATGTGACGGTGATTGGGACAGTTGGTGATCATAGCCTGAATCCCCGTTGCAGGCAGGAGCTTGGAGTCCCTCATCTGTTGGCTCGACCCACGACAGTGGATGCACTGGATGATGTCCCCAAAGCGTGAATTTGGGAAGGTGGTAGTAAGAGCATTGCATACATAATGACTAATAACACATAAATAAATTATATGTTCAATTGCAGATGACCCCTGTAGTATTGATGTCATGAACCACGTACTTTTGTTTTTGCAGATAGGTCCCTTCAGTGAAAACTTTCTGACTCTTTTACCCTCAGGCAGGGGCCTATTAAAAAAACCTCTATGAGGATAATAGTGTCAAAAAATCACTTGGGGGTCTGCAAAAGTAAAAGTAAAGGGGTAGTAAGATGAAAATAATAATACGTTGATACTAAAGGGGGATTCTACCCGCAATTAACCTGTATGTTAATATGAGTGTTGTTAAATATAGTTACTGTGTATATTGTATCCTTTTCTTTAGTCCCACATCGCCTAGGACACTAAAAGCACTTCTCTTGCTCTTGTATTCTTGTATTTAAGAGGGTGTTTGGTTCAATTTCTACAAATTATAGGAAATGTTTTCCACCCAAAATATGATTTCCTTGTATTTCTTAAAAAATTATAGGAAATTTTTTGAGAAGTCAAAAAATATCAATTTTCTTGTTTTTTTTTACTTTGCTTGTTTGATTCAAAACAAGAAAATGACCCATAAATTTATAGAAAATAATAAGGTTTCCTATAATTTATAGAAATTGAACTAAACACCCCCTAAATTTATAGAAAAGTATCAACTTTATAAAAAAAGTGTCATTGTTATGTCAGATTTCTGGGTAATTTTCGCCCATTTTGAGAGGAAATTGATTTCTATAAATTTTGACACTTTTTGTACTTTATAGAAAACACTTTTGTAAATTTTTTGAACCAAACACAGTTTACGGAGATCTATAAAAAAAGTTAATTACAGAATTACTATTGTCAGACATTTTGAGAAAACTTTTCTATAAAATTGTGCAACCAAACACCCCCTAAACCTTTCAATACAATGAATAAAACAAGTCTCTTTCTACTAAAATATCTTTTTTCTCCCAAAAGCTCTATTCTTAACATGGTATGAGAGTTATTCTCTTCATCCTAGAGAGAGAGCTCCTCATCCTTCCTCTACATTGAACCGCCGAGGGGGTTTTCCTGGAAACTCCACACTTCCTCTTGGCGGCCTCGATACTAGATTCAACCTAGATCTTCATAGATTTTACGCCAATCATTTGGCCTACCAACTAGCTCTTCATAGATTTTACGCCAATCATTTGGCCTACCAACTAGCTCTTTATAGATTTTACGTCAATCATTTGGCCTACAAACTAGATTTTCATAGATTTTCAGCTAATCATTTAGCCTAATCAATTAGATCTCCCTAGACCCACTTGGCATAATTATACTGTTCATCCGCTTCATCACATGCAAACAAGGTGTTCGACGAATTGCCTTAGCGAGATTTCTCTCTCCTTGGCTAGCCTAGGGCAAAGCTCTCTCCAGCCAAGCGTTTTCCTTTCACCGATGCTTGTAAGATCCTGTCACCATGCCTCCTCTCGCGACCACAGATCCGCCCTCTCGTGACCACCGTGCATGACCGCCGATCACTACTGCAACATCATACCTTGCCGTTTGCAAGATCTAGTCACCATGCCTTTTCCACAACTGCAGGCCCACCCTCTCGCAACAACGACGCATAACTGTCGATCACCACTGCAATAACATGATCTCGCATCCTGCAATTCTAGCCATCGATGTGCTCCAATTTAACCACCTCCCGCCAAGCCACGCCAATAACCATCTATGCAAATTTGGCTAGTCTAATCCAAATTCTCGATTCTCTACCGACCGTGAGTTTGACCAAAAGTGTTAAATATAGTTATTGGGCATATTGTATCCCTTCCTTTAGTCCCACATCGTCTAGGATACTAAAACCTCTTCCCTTGCTCTTGTATTTAAACCTTTCAAAACAATGAATAATATAAGTCTCTTTCTACTAAAATATCCCTTTTTTCTCCCAAAAGCTCTACTCTTAATAGGTGTAAGCGTATGAAACTAAACTGAACTTATGTACTCATACTCCAGGAACATGAGACTAAAAGGAAAGCGGTGCATAGCATAATATATCCATCAAAAGGTAAATGTCATCAGAAGGATTACACTTGGCATAATGTATACATATCCGCCAAGGCCTCCATCGTATTGATAGCAAGGTTCTTCCACAAAATAATCTCGCTAAGTTCAATTATGTGTAATAAATTCATAGAAGACAACTGAAATTAACAGAGATCAAAGTTGCTTATATCTATCTCTGTCTATCTTGTTGTATAAGCAATAACAAATAAATTCTTTTCTTTTCTTTCTATTTGAGGATTATATTTTATATTCTAACATGCCCCCCGTAGGATTGAGGCTGATACATGGACTCACACAGTAGTGTCAAATTTTTTGAAAAATTCACTTTAAAATTCATGGTCGGTGGGATTTGAACATGAGTTGCTTTGATACCATCTTAAAGTCTTGTAACAATTACATCAAAATTCCAAAGTTATGATGAGGATGATGATTATATTTTTATGTTCTAACTTCTAACATTGTTATCATCTGCATCCTCTGTGCTATACAGGAAACTTCCCGTGTCTTGTTTTAAGTGTCGGACATGTCCAGCGTGGACAATGGGGCACTTAAAGAAGTATTCATCAATAATTTACTTTTTCAAAAAAATATGCACAAAGTATATAGTATACATGTGGGAATTTTGTTAAAAAGAAAGTCCATTACAGGAATTATTATATTTGACATATCTCGCTTTTAAGGTTATTTACAGTCATACCAACAAACGAAAACAATGCAACTACAACCGCACTAACAAATGTACAATCATACATGCAAATACATTTCCTTTTTGAGGTTTATGTTATCACACATACTGAAAATTATGTAAATACATGTGAGATTTATCCTCCTGTGTAGCCTGCAGCGTGCAGGCACATGTTTGGGCACTTACAAAATATATACCCATTACACAGAAAAAGTAATATGTGAGGCGCTAGTAAAGAAAAAGAAACTGCATTATATGAAATTTTCATGTTGAGAGCATGAGCATCTGTTTGAGAATAAAAGTTAAGGTAATTGATATCTATTTGTGTGCGCATGTATGCAGCCATAAGAATACAGGTGTATACCCATGACTGTGTCAATATTTACGAAATTACCATGTCTGATTGGAACATGACGTCTACCACCATTCCATATATCATAGATGGTATTTGCGATTGACAACATGATATGTTTCCTCTTTCTATAGATATATTTTGTTGATTAAAGCCAATGGAAAGTACTTAGTTGAAAGGGTAAAAGTGGAACTAATAATGTTGCCGACAACCTAAGTGATTCCACAATAAAGTAGACCACAATCACGCAAAGCTTAAGCATATCTCATGTTAAAATATCTACATATTTATAAAAGAGTTAATTAATTTTTCACATACCTTCTGCAGGCTCAAGAGGCATGGGTAATCCGGAACCACCATCAACAGGATTTGGCATGCGTGGAGGTCGTTTCCTCACATAGTTTTCTTGCAGAGGTTTTGGAATCTGAAAAGAAAATTGAGATAGTTTGACCCCATGTTCGACATACTCTGGATGCTTCTAACAGGTACCTGCAGAGATCAATGTCAATTATTAGGTTCTCAACCCCCCCCCCCCCCTCCCCAAAAAAAAACCAAAAAAACAACCAACCATCGCCAACACGCACATGCACAATAAATAAATAAATAAATAAGTTAATTAATTAAATAAAATAATACAAGAAAAATTTACAAGACAGGAGGTCCAATTGGTGGTTCACAGAGTTCATTTTGATCTAAGGTGACCAAATATAGATAAAAAGTTAAGCAATTGAAACTTCTAAGTGATCCATGAAGTGGTGTTTTAGGAAGATTCTAAGACATAACTTTTGACTATATACAAGTATTAAGTGTAGTTCTAGATCAATGACATAATTTGGTAAGTGAGAACAAACTTTTAATTTCGTTTTACAGCATAAATCAATTAGAATAAACGACTGAAAAAAACTAATAAATGTCGTACATAAATAAGATGTTATGACAAATCCCCAAGATCAACTAATATCAATTTACACAAGTGTAGAAAAATATCAAGAAGACAATTACACACGGATATACATGGTTCGGCTTATAGCCCATGTCCACAGGCGAATGAGGAGAATAGCTTGACTTAATTGTAAGCCATACAATGTAGAGATCCCTTAATCACTCAAATCTCTTAACACATCTCAAAAACCCGATACAATTTCTCTCAAGAGCCAATTAATCAACAACCAAGAAAAGAACTTAAAACCTCAATGTAGAGATCCCTTAACCACTCAATCTCTTAACACATCTCAAAAACCCGATACAATTTCTCTCAAGAGCTAATTAATCAACAACCAAGAGAAGAACTTAAAACCTCAATGGAGTTGAGGTTTACTACAGATGCTTTGAAAAACTTCAGCTTTGATGCCCTCGCTTGACTTTAGATGAGAACATTGTTCTCTATTTCTCTTTTGGTGCAAATAACCATGATGATGTTCGGATCATATATAATGGGACCAAAAATGACATCCCTAATACTTCATCAAATTGGATTGAAATCCAATAGCAAATTGGATTGAAATCCAATAGCCAACAAGATTCCTGGTGACCAAGTAACCAAAGATTTCTAACTGAACTCTGATCCAAATCAGCTATAAGTTGTTTATCCTTAGCACAATAGGAATTTGAATTCATCTAAACCATTCACACTTCTACAAGACAACTCCTGATTGTAGCCTTGGCCAAAACCAAACCCAACTAATATCAAATGTAGTATTGAGTCACATATAACAAATCTTCACCTTGACTCAAATGCATCAAAAAATCCACTCCAAAAACCTAACTTACTCCTCCTTTAACAGCTCCGCAAGGCATCAAGTGCGACACATATCAATCAAATCCAAGCTCAGCTTAAACTTGCTAACTGAAAGAGGTCTCATCAACAAATTGACTGAATTGTCCACATGATGACCGTGACACTTAGCGAAGTCATTACCTGAAGTAACTCCTGAATAGCTAAAGGGCACAAAATTGTCAACCAACAATGCATAGGCTATTGTACCTTCATATCTTCACAGTGGTCGAATATTTTGTCTAGACCGATCTGTATGCTAAGGTGGTTCATCTATTTAAATGAGATCTGGCTGTTGAACTATTATAATCTTATCCTGTTGAAGAGCTGAATTATGAATTTCCAATTACACCATATGTCCTATAGTGTGCACTTTATTTTCATCAACTGAAACTGGTAACCGAATCTGGTGGAACATAACAAACTCATCAAAACTGACATCATGGCTGATAATAACCTTAGAAAACTTCGGATCAAGACACCACAACCTAAAACCCTTAACACCTGATGCTTAGCCTAGGAATATGCATTTCTTTGCTTGAGCCTCAAGTTTTCCTTAGCTAACATGCATATATGCAGGGCAACTAAATATTCGAAGATTAGAATAATTCGTAGGCTTATCAGACCAAATCTCCTATGAAGTTTTACAACTAATAGCAATAGGTGGTGGTCGATTTACTAAGTAACAAGCCATATTTATCGCTTTTGCCCAGTATTCCTTCCCTAAACCTGCGTTGAACAATATACAACAATCTTTCTCCAAAAGGCCCTATTCATACGTTCTGCTACTCCATTCTGTTGCAGTGTGCGAGGAACTATGCGACGTCTAACAATTCCCTTATTCTTACGGAACTCACTAAATTCTCCTCCACAAAAATCAAGGCCACTATTAGTACTAAGCCTCTTTATCAGCCTTCTAGTATGCTTCTCAATCAAAGACTTTCACTACTTGAAAGTCACAAACACCTCATCTTTATGTCTCAAAAAATAGATCTAAACCTTCCTGGAATAGTCATCAATAAAGGTCAACAGATATCTTGAACTACTACCCTTCAAGGCAACTTAAGATCCCCAAAGATCTGAATGAATATAATTCAAAATACCTTTAATCTGATGCCGCACTGAAGCTTGCTCTTTTTCGCTTTTGGAAGATGCATTGCTTACATAATTCTAATTTTCCTATACTCTATCCACACAAAAGACCTTTCTTGCTCAACTCAGCCAATTCGTGCCCACCAAGTCTTATATGCCATAATTTGGTAGCATTTCGTATTGATAATGTGATTGTAGCTATAACCGAACAAGTAAAAGTAAAACTCTGCAAAACATACAAGTTGCTGATCTTCTTTCCTTTCATAATCATAAAAAGCCTTTTGTAACCTTAAGAACTCCATCTTTACTTAAAAAATTGCACCCAAGACTATCAAAAGTGCCCAAAGAGATGAGGTTCTTCCGTGAACCTAAAGCATGCCTAACATTAGTCAAAGTTCTGATGACTTCATCATGTATCTTAATTCGAATTGTCCTTTCCTAATAGTCTTGCATGAGGTGTTATTGTTGGATAACATGTTCCTAATATGTTTTCTAATTAGTTTTGGTAACATGTTATTAGGATTCCTAATCTGCTTTGGTAACATGATTCCAAATCTGTTTTGGTAACAAGTTATTAGGATTCCTAATCTGTTTTGTTTTTTGTTTTAGAATTCTCAGTATGTTTATGATTTTAGGATTTCTATATATATGAAACAATTGGAAGAGAGAAAAGAGAAAAAAATTAGGGATATTTGGAGTACAAAAAAGAGGAATTTTCTGAGCTATTGGTTAGGATTTTGTTTGGAGTGAATTAGAGATTTGTTGGTGAGATTAATTGGTAAGTTTAAGTAATTTGTAATCTTAGTTTGTACTCTTCTTTTTTATTAGTGAAAAACTCTATCCCCTTCTTGCCCCGTGAACATAGACAACTTGTGGAATCAAGTTAAAATTAGTTGTTTGTGTTTGTGGCATTGATTTGGTTCGTTTGGCCTTCTTTCGGCGTTTGTTTAATTTGGTCTCTCGAAACACATTGGTTTGGTTGTTTGGCTTCCGCAGCGCTCAACAAGTGGTATCAGAGCTCGAGCTACGCTTGGATTATTTGGAGTAGGTCGTTTTGGAGGCTCGCCTAGGACTTCGTTTGGTGATAAATGTGAGATCTTTTTGGTAAAGACTATCTTTTTCAGTTTTGGATCTATTCTTCATTTGTTCCGTATTTGTTTTGGTGCTTTGAGAAAGATGGTCGGGAAAGAAAGTTGTGGAAAGTACTTCCGACGTGAAGATCGTCTAAAGTTTGAATATCCACTCTATGAAGATAGATGTGAAGAAGTTTAATAACACAAACAATTTTGATCTTTAGAGATGTGAAGTCTTGGATGCGCTCAGTGCGTAAAATTTGAAAGATACTTTAGAATTGGACGGAAAACCGGACGACATTGAGGAGAATGTTTGAAAAAAAATGAATAAAACGGCGTGTGGTGTGATTAGATCTTGTTTGACTCAAGATTTAAAATATGATGTGATTAATGAGACTTCGACTAAGAAGATTTGGGAGATCCTAGAGGGCAAGTATTTGACCAAGAATGTAGAGAACCGTTTGCATTTGAAGATGAGCATTTATCGCTTCCAATTGAAGAAGAGGATCTCCGTTGTTGATCGCATGAACCACTACACGAAGCTTCTTGCGAATTTAGCGAATGTAGATGTGATGATTGAAGATGAGAACAAGACGTTGTTGTTGAGTTCCTTGCCTGACGAGAAATATGAGACATTCGTTCTTACTTTTATTAATGGGAAGATATCTCTTTCTTATAGTGAGGTCATCGTTGCACTTGTGAAATATCAACTTCGAAAGAAGGATAATGAGACTTCAGTTGAGCCGGTAGCGGGGGCATTGATCGCAAGAGCAAAGAGTCCAAACCGTGGTAAGAGGTCGCAGTCTAGAGGAGCACATCTTGAAGTTCGTAGTAATCAGTGTCTTTTGTAAAGAGGATAAACATTGAAAAACCGAATGCCCAAAGTTAGTTGATCGAGTCGGGAAGAATAAGGGAAAAGCTATTCAAGCTTCAGAGGTGAATGTTGTTAAGGCTAGTGGCAATAATTCAGATTCAAATTCTTCGGGCTACTCGTTATCTACACTACTGTTAGTTTGTGTTGCCGACTCTACAGAATAGATGTTAGATTCGTGTGCTTCTTATCATATTTGTCCTAGGAGGGATTGGTTCTCCAGCTTTTAGGAGTTGGAAAGAGGGAAGATCGTGCTTATGGGTAATGATCATGAATGTCCTATTGATGATATCAGTACCGTTCGGATTAGGATGAGTGACAGAGTGATTCGGGAGTTAGTTGGAATGAGGTTCGTTCCTCAGTTGAAGAATATCATTTCACTTGGAGTTTTGAAGACAGCAGGCTATAGGGTGACCTTGATCGATTCACGTTTGAAGATCACATTGGGGTCCATGATTGTGATGAAGGACGTCAGGAGGAATAATTTATATTATTTGATTGGGAGCATGGTGTTTGATAGAGAGCTGACGACTTCTTTGGATTTGGCTAGACTGTGGCATTTGTTGAGGCTGGGTTATTTGATTGGTTATGTCGTGCATGGTTTGTTGAGTGTTTTGACCTGCAGATTGAAGTCCTTTGAACACATTGGTATGAGCAAGAAGACTGAGTTGGAGTTTGA